TCGCAGAAACTAGAATAAAAACAAGTAATAAAAAAAAATGTTAAAGTCAATTCCTATTTTTTTTACTGTATTGCAGAAAGTCCTTTATAAATAATTTTCATTCATTTTTTTTAAGTTTATCTGGAGCCATTTATCGGTAGATATATGCAACTTAAATCTAAAAAAACAAAAAATTAATGAATTAAATTTAATTACTGAATAAATATTTGATAAAAACTGTATCAACATACAGTGTCATCCACTACAAGTTAAAAAAAATGTATTTGAACTCGAGTGGATGAATAAAAAAGTATTTTATGAACGATTGAAAATTTGAACAAGATATATACAGGGAGAGTGTGAGCTAATAGAAGGAATTGAAAAATAATTAAAAAAAAAAAAAAATAACAAAATGACGCGTTGTTTAAATTTTTTTTTATTATTTTTTGTATGTAAATAATAAAAAGTATTCAACGTAAACACTTTTTTTTTTAGTTGCAGCGATAGGTACTGGTGTACTGAATGACATAGTAAAATTTGAAACGAATCGGTCGAGTAGTGTTTTTGCCTGACACCGTGCAGAAAAAAGTAGTTTCGAAATAAATGAGTTTGAAGTGTAAGGTAAGCATATTCTCAGCTAAATGGGCGGTAGAACTTAAAATATCGTCAATATCATTACAAAAATTTAACAGCATATTCTTAAAAGGATTATACTTTCGAAATATCGAAAGAAAAAATTTTTTGATTTTTTTGAAAATTCCAGACCACCGGGTTCCCTTAAATAATCGTTTAAAAATTCACTAAGTTTTGAACTCCTTGTATTTTTGTTTAACATTACTACTGTGCCCACAAAGTAAGACCAATTATTTTTTTTCAAAAACTCTTTATTTATTCTTCCAAATTTATTTCATCACCTTCAAAGTAATCCTCCGGACACAATGCACTTCTGCTAACTTTTTTTTTCAATCCTCAATGCATGCTAAAAAGTCATCGGCAGGCATGGCCTTCAAAACGATCGGCGATTCACGTTGAATATCTTCTATCCACTCAAAACGGTGTCCCCGGAGTGGTCTTTTGAGTTTAGGGAATAGCCAGAAGTCACACGGTGTGAACGAGAATGAACGAGGTTATGAACGAGATGGGTTTCATTTTTGACGAAATAATTCACGAAGAATCAATGCAGTGTGAGCTGGCGCATTCAAAGTTTTCGATTACCAATTGAGATTTGAAGCGTTTGAGGCCCAAAATGGAATAGACCGATGCTTTTGAATTCCAACTTCGTCAGCAAGGTCTCTAATTGTAAATCGACGGTTTGCCAGCACCAAATCTTTAACCTCAACCGACGAAGCTCACGTCCAGAAAAATTAATGGTCGTCCAGAGGGTTCTTCGTCTTCAACGCGTTCTCTGTCTTCTTTGAACTGTTTATACCACTTGTAAACATTTCTTTCCGATATAGAAATGCTCATCGAATGCCTTCTGCAACATTCTATACGTTTCCGCAAACAAAATTGAATGCAAAGTTCTCTGTTCACTAAATTTAGGCATTTCAAAAATCGCCGGAATCAGTTTTAGCGTCTCACAAAGCCAAGATTAACTCAAACACTCACTGAATATTTTGATGTCAGATTTCCCACATATGTCAAGGACGGTGCCAGCAACCTAAAAAAGAAACAAGTATTATAAAAAAAAAAAAAAAAATTTTAAGTCAATTCCTACTTTTTTCACTCTATTGCAGAAAGTCCTTTATAAATAATTTTCATTCTTTTTAACTTTATCTGGCGCCATCTATGGTTAGACATATGTAACTTAAATCTAAAAAAAAAATAAAATGAATGAATTAAATTTAATGAATGTATTAATATTTGAAAAAGCTGTATTCACATCCAGTGCCATCCACTACAAGTTTAAAATAAAAATGTATTTGAACTCGAGTGGATGAATAAAAAGTGTTTTATGAAAGATTAAAAATTTGAACAAGATATATATAGGAGAGTGTGAGCTAATAGAAGGAAATTAAAAAAAAAAAATTGAAATCCCATAAGCCCCGAATTTTAAATTGAAAATGGGTCTTACTTTTTGGACACAGTAGTATCAAACAATTGTTCTTATATAAAAAATAATAAGGTAGCGAAGAGTGCTCCATAGTACATTTAACTCTCTATAACGTGAAACATGTAGAGTGTTTCATTTTTCTACACCCATCGCTTAGATGAAGCCGACTTGGACTGCATGAAGTTTTTTCGACGCGCGTTTTCACAATCACAGATGAGAAGACATATTTCTCATGGCGAATTATATTAATTCTGTCATGTTAACATTTTGAAGCTGTACTCATTGAATCTACATGTTTGTTCTTACCTATCTTGATGTAAATAAATGTTTTTGGAAAATAAAAACACCCTGTTGTTCGTATCGTGTTTTAACATGTGTCATGCACACCATTGAAATTTAAACAAAAACAAGTAATAAAAAAAATTTAAGTCAATTCCTACTTTTTTTTTTTTTCATTCTATTGCAGAAAAGTCCTTTGTAAATAAAGTTGAAATTTTCCTCTTGCATCTGGCGCCATATATTGGCAGATACATGCAACTTAAATCTAAAAAAAATAAAATGAATGAATTAAATTTAATGAATGAATGAATATTTGAAAAAAAACTGTATTAACGATAAGTGTCATCCACTATAAGTTCAAAAAAATGTATTTGAGCTTGAGTGAACTAATAAAAAGTATTTTATGATCGATTGAAAATTTGAGCACGATATATATATAGGGAGAGTGTGAGCTAATAGAAGGAATTGAAAAAAGTTTCAGTAATAACTCAAAAATCAAAAGTGAACTTTTCTAATAAGTATCTATTAGAAAAGATCTATTTTAGAGAGTTAAATAGGATTATATAAGGGTTGATTATAGTTAAAGTCCCACTTTCATAACGCTGTAAACCCACTTGTCAAAATGAGTTCACATTTGAATTGAAGATACTTGAAGAAGGAGGAAACGGTAAGGCATCAAAAAGGTTCTAAAGTGTATTAATAGATGGCGCTGTAAGCGGCATACAGACGGTGAATTCGGCTGCCATGTATATTTTGAATCGAAATGACAACCTATTTGTCATGAGTTGTACATTAAACCAACTGTAGTGTTCAATGTGTTTGATTGTTTGGGTTTTTGGACGGAAAAAACGACTTCCATGTTATTCAAAAGTTGTGACACTGTTAGTGAAGAGCCCATACTCCACGACAAGGTCATGCCAAATTGGATGGGAAAAATTGGTGAACTTTTTTATGATGCCGTACCGTTTCCCCCTTCTTCAAGTATCTTCAGTTCAAATGTGAAAAAGCGTAGTGACGAATGGTTCATTTTTTACGGCATTTTTTTCACCCTGTATATTCTCGAAAAGAAACAAGACACATTGATACAACAAAGACCAGCAGGTAAAGAAATGCGGCGCATGCGCTGTTCTTTTCATTCCACTAACAAACGATGCTGAAAAAATTCCTTTAAGCACACCTCCCAAAAGACTAACTGCAACATTAACTCCTAACCTTGATGTTATCTCACCAACTACTAAGACCAAATTTAACAATCTGGAAAATAATGCCCTCTTTCATGATAACGTTATTCTCGAGAAGATTATTAAAAAAACTCCCCCTTACCCTTTAATGATCTGGAAAACTACTGACCTTAAATTTCTTAAACAACTAAACATTCTTAGCTATGAGGATAATATTATAAAACTTTCAGGTGAATTCGTCAAATATTTTCCCAAAAATAGCGAATATAAAGTGAAAATTATAAATCACTCATGAATAATTCTTCAAGCTTCTACAGCTGGGGGTAGCCAACCCAAATGATCTTGCAGGCCATTTTGGAAATGCATCACAATTCCGTGGGCCACACATAAAATTATAGATCCCCCTATTAGATTCAGACCCACTCTAGACATTTTTTGGAGAGAACAATTGAAACAGATTGAATTATTATTATTGTGTTTACTACAATACAACAGTACATACATACAGTATAATACTAAACGCACATTATAATAATAATAATACTAAACGCACAGAAATATATAACACTAAAAATGAAATATAAAAATATATAAATATAAATGAAATCATAAAAATATTTATTTGACTAGTGTGATAGGTGTTTCTCCACTCTTTCACTTAGCGTTTGCAAATCGATCTCCATTTGGGCATTGGCACATCGTAATGGATGTTGCAGGTGAGCCTCCGTTATGCTAGTGCGTGTTTTATGTTTGCCCAATTAGTCAACTATAAACTCATAAATAAAACAGGCACTATCTGTTCTATATTCGCAAGAACATTATTTTAAAATCAAAGTTCATTTTTCTCATCCTTTCGGCAGTTCATTTTTGAATAGAGGGATGCACGCATAATGTGTTTTCTTTAATGCATAGGTTTTCCTTCTTTGGCCCTTATAAAATAAATCTATTTTGTAAAAAGTGTGAAAAATCTCACTGGCCAGAAAAACGTTCAACGCGAGCCGTGAGTTAGCTACCCCTCTTCTAGAGCATCATTAGCATATCGGATTGGCCTTTCAAAGCTATACTAAAAAGGACACCAATAACTCAGAAAGATGAAAATGAAATTGAGCTGGTAGAGCAAGATTTTACACAAAAACATATAAATCAGCTAACCAGCTGAAAACTAAAACTAAATTTTCCCTCTGGCAACTCATATTAAAAAGCTTTGTAACTAGTGTTGTTGTTTCTTATCCCACTTGGTAGACATCTAGGCCAAGCCCACGAGCCCATATATACTCATGATTGAAGGCGAAGGAAGCAGCTTCTGTTGTGATGGAGCACCCGTAGGTAGAAGTCTGACTTTGGCTCCGTGACGTTGTTGCAGTCATAGGAGACAGGGACCTACGGCTTAAAGTGGATTCGAACCACTCGCAAATATCCATGGCACCGCCGGGATTCGAACCCGAAACCTGTGGCACCGAGCGCCAGAGCTGGACGACACTCGGCCATTCAGGTCTTTTTTGAATGCCAACGACAGGCGGTGTTTCCTGGTGATCACCCTCCCAAGTACTGGGAGCGCCCAATGATGCTTGACTTCGGTGATCTAACGAGAACCGGTATATTCAGCATATGACCATTGGCTTTGTAACTAGTAGTATATAGTATAACACATTTTATATGTAATGGCAGGGGGCCTGAATGGTCGAGTGACTAGCGCTCTGGCACTCGGTACCACAGGTTTCGGGTTCGAAGTACCGGCGGTGCAATGGATGTTGGTAATGGTTCGGAATCCACTTTAACCCGCAGGTTCCGGTCTAATAGGATCGTAGAGAGTTTCGGAGGCAGTGTAACTCCGCGTCCGTAGCATATCTTCAAGCTACAAGCACCTCCTGGGTAGTGCTCAGTGAGTAACGTCAGTGCGGCGCTTGCCTTAAGACATTCAAGACCAAGCTGTCTAAATGTTTGCCAGCTGAAGTTAGAACAAAAATAATAATAAAAAAAAAAAAAAAAAACATCATATATGTAATGCCAGGGGACTTGAATGGCCGAGTGGCTCGGTACCACCAGGTTTCGGGTTCGAGTTCCAGCGATGGCATGGATGTTGGTAATGGTTCGGAATCCTCTTAAAACCGTAGGTTACGGTCTAACAGGATCGTACAGCTTTGCGGGGTAGTGTTACTCCGTAGCTAATCTTCCAGCTGCACGCACCTCCTGGGTAGTGCTAAGTGGGTGAAGTTTCCCTTAAGGCATCAAAGACCACTGTATAAGTGTTTGCCAGCTGCATTAGAACAAAAAAAATATTATCTATGTCCACATGCAAGAATAATCGTAAAAACACTAATAGTAACTCATTATGTTTCAATTTTTCACTCAAAAAGTCTATAGCGGAAAACTGAAACTAACTTTCCCCCTCTGGCAACTCATATTAAAAAACTTTGCAACTGGTATATAAAATACATCTTATATGTAATGTCAGTTATAATATCAAACAGAATAAAAAAAATTTTATAGTTCAAGAGGTGAAATTCGTCTCTAAAATTTTGTTCAGACACTTTTGGAACACACATAATTACTGTAATTCACAAATACGGAAGGTCCCCGTTTGGGCGGCTGATTATAGTAGATGTGTTGTTATATTTACTCGTTAATTCAAAAATGTAAGTGAATGGCAACGTTTATTTCGAAATGTTTAGTTAAACGAAATTGGCAACGTTATTGTAATTCTAAGAAAAATAAAGATGGCTGTTGTTGTGTTTTAACTTACAACTGTAGTTGTGTTGTAATTTTTACTTCATTGTGGCGAATCTGGGATTCCAGTCAAGTAAGTGTTATTTGCAATCTGATTATAGAAAGCATAAACTTTATTTTTTTTAAAGAGATAACGTAGGAATTGTATGACTGCTAATAGAGTTTTTGCAAAACGTTTTTTATCGTCCGATATTTTTCTTCCTAGTGCGCATGCTCATAAGAAACATTGTACCTATTGCACAAGCTTATCTGTAATACTTCACTACTGAGCTATTCCTATGAGCATCCACGATAGGAAGGAAAATATCGGACGATAAAAAAACGTTATGCAAAAATTCTCTAATAAGGGATTTTCGTTTTTACGTTAAATGTGTTGCTGTTTGTTTGAGCAGCTTCAATTGGGTAAGGCGGCCTAATAGCCAACTGGCTAGCGCTCTGGCCGTTGGTACCAAAGGCTTCAGGTTCGAATGCTGGCGGGGGCATGGATGTTTGTGAGGGTTCAGAATCGGGGCCTGATAGCCAGAGTGACTAGCGCTCTGGCGTTCGAAACCCGGCGGTGCCATGAATGTTTGTAGTGGTTCGGAATACACTTTAAGCACTAGGTTCCGGTCGCATATGACTAACAGCGTCACAGAGCCCAATCAGACTTCTCTCACCCCCACCTTCCCAAACTGTAAAGGGGCAACTCAGCTCTAGGCACGTGTGGTGTAGTCGTAGTAGTGGTGGTGGTGATTCGGAATCCACTTTAAACTGTAGGCCCCGGTCTGTTTAGCCTAAAGTGTGCACAAGATGACCGTAGAGCGACAAACCAAATCAATTGTGTATGGACAAATCGAGTCCCAAGTCCAATAACACATTTATTTTAACGCGCACAAAGTACTACAGTTACAATTTTTTAAAAAATAAGCAATATTTAGCACACAGCATGTATATTTAAACAACATTCAATTAGGGATTTAGTGGAAAGATTCTATGGTTCTTCTAGCTCGCGGTATGAGAGATGGTTATTTTGCGCCAGTTGCGCCTTGCGTCCCCTCGGGCAGGAGGTTCGATGCCAACTACGAACTTTTCAGCGAAACTCCGCAAGGGGCGATCTTGCAGTGAGTAGGAGGAAACACGGTTACAACACAGTATTATTTAAAACATGAACCGCACAATAACAAAAAGTCTTTAGAATACTGATGTCACATAGATTTCTTACAATGTTTGATAATGATAATTTTGAAATATTTATTTTAAAGGGAAATAGCTTATACGAACATTATTTTTTTTGTAAAAATAAAGAACCATATCTACAACAGAAATGCGTAATGTTAAAGAACAACAACTACAATATAGAACAGAATAATTTAACCTGCAAAATTGCCAATAACAGCAACAGCTAAACATCCTCTTTAAAATCAGCTTCACAAAATTACTCTGCTGAATAAAATACTCTTATTCTTAATGATGTTGCGATATTATTTTTTTTTTTTTATTTCGACATACTGATAACAATGTTATTTGAAATTGTAGGATAAACAAACTGCTTTCCCTTTACAAGAAAAAAAAATAACTTTTCCTAATTAAAGAAAAAAAAAAATTCAGAAGAATACCTTTAACTTTTCTAAAAAAAAAAGGATATAGTTTTCTCTAAAAAAGGCATTACAATTTCATCAAACGAATTTGGCCAACTTGCTGATAGTCCAACAGATTACTTTATAATAATCAAAATTCGATTCAAGTAATCAATACAATTTTTTGTTGATTTATAGAATAATAGGACAATAACCTATATCATGAAAAATAATTTAATCAGAAACTATATTAACTGAGATATCAATAGAAAATGAAAAAGGACTTATCAGTTACGGAAATTCTACGGGTTAAAAATATACCTTGAAAACCTGAGCATCATCATTAATATAATAAAAATAATAACATGTAGTTTCAAAGAACTCGAACCTACATGTTACCAATATTTTAAGACAAAAATATTTAGAGGCCCACATCCTAAAAACTTTTTTATGTCCGAAAAGGACCAAAGAGAAGGCGGGAAATGACACATAGTATTAAGTGTCGGAGGATTAGAATTAAGGACTTGATGGCCAAGTGGCTAGCGCTCTTCCGCTTGGTAATAAAATGTTTTGGGTTCTTTCCCAGCGGTGCCATGGATGTGTTGAAATGGTAATTGAAGCAGTAGGTCCCGGTCTCATAGGACCGTAGAGCGTCACAGAGCCCAATCAGACCTCTTCTCACCCTGTTGGAGTATCAGCAAGCCACAACAACAGCCATCTTTTTATTTTTTCTTAGAATTACAATAACGTTTCCAATTTGACTTAACTAAACATTTCGAAATAAAAGTTGCCATTCACTTAAATTTTTGAATTACGCGTTTAAATATAACGACACATCGACTGTAATCAGCTGCCCAAACGTGGGCCACCCATACTTGTCCACTACAGTATTTATAAGTGTTCCAAAGTATTTGAATAAAATTTCAGAGAGGAATTTCACCTCTTGAACTATAAATTTTTTTTTTGTTCTTCTTAATATAATTGACATTGCATATTTTTTTGTTCTAATGCAGCTGGCAAACACATTGATAGTTGTCTCGGATGCCTTAAGGCGTGCTGCACCGACGTTACTCACGAGCACTGCCAGGGGCACCTGTAGCTTTGAAAATAGGCTACCGGACGCGAGTCACTACACCCACAACGCCTACTGTCATTTAGACCGGGACCTACGGCTTAAAGTGGATTCGAACCCCAGGAGCAAACATCCATGGCATCGCTGGAACTCGAACACGAAACCTGTGTGGTACCGAGCAACTCCACGGCCATTCACGCCCCCCTGACATTACATCAAAAATTCGATTCAAGTAATCAATACAATTTTTTATTGATTTATATTAAATAGAATAAGGGGCCTGATGGCCAAGTGGTTAGCGCTCTGGGCACTTGGTACCAAATGTTTTGGGTTCTATTCCCGGCGGTGCCATGGATGCGTTAAATGGTAATTTAAGCCGTAGGTTCCGGTCTCATAGGACCGTAGAGCGCACAGAGCCTCAATCAGACCTCTTCTCACCCCCACATCCTTCCCAAACTGTAAAGGAGCAACTCAGCTCTAGGCACAGTAATGTGGTGTAGTAGTAGAATAATAACCTATATCATAAACAAATAATTTAATCAGATGCTATGTTGTTGTTCCAATGCATCTGGAAATGGGAACAGTTGCATCTTTATGCCATAAGCAAGGTCTGCACCGCTGTTACTCACTTAGAACTACCGGGCGTGTATCTTGAGAGATAAGCTACGAAGCGCGTAACACTACTCCCACAACTGCTCTACGATCCTATTAGACCGGAGTCACGGAGTTTCCTAATCCAGAAGCTATATTAACTGAGATTCTCTAAGAAAACGAAAATGGATGTATCAGTTGAGTAAGTCCTATAGGGTGCTAGAAAACAAACCTTGACAACCTGAATTCATCATTATCAACATATTAAAAATAATGCAACATGTAACTTCAAAAGAGCTCCGCAAAGAGTAGCTACATTACATGACCGAATCTCGCCACTCAGATTGGCGCCACGATCCAGCTCGTAAATTACAGCCTCAATGGAAAATAAGTAGGAAAGTAGCTAGTATTTAATATTTTAAGCATCTGTCATAGCGAAAGTTATTAGAGATATATATTATGGCGAAAAATAGTCTCCAAGCTATTCGGTTGTCTAAAAAGGAGTTCACAAACTCTTTTAGTCGTGAGGAATATCTTCTGGTAGACCGTGTGTCACATATTCAAAGAGAAAACAAAGGGAAAAATCACAATTAAAAATAAAAATTTAAAAGGTACAGTACTATTAAAATAAAATCTAGTAGAGTTGGGGACCCGTTTCAT